CTAATTCAATGCCTTCATTGGGATATTCAACATCTAAACTATCTGGACTCCTCTCCTCCTGCATAGAAGATATTAAAAACATATATATATAGACTAAGACATGCGCCAATTTAATGCGAAAAGTACTCTATGCTGAGTTGGAAAATTCAGAGTGTGCAGTTAGCTTCACAGTTTGTATGTATCATACAAATAAAAATTATTGACATAAAAAAGTGTATGAAAATGTATCATCTGTGGTGGAGAGAACACTTACCAAATGCTACACATAATCAGAATCTGTAGTTCATTTCCTAACAGTTATCACTGTCAGTGAAAAAAAAAAAACACTGTTTCTAAAGATTCATATATAACAATAAAAAAAATATTTTCTAGCTACTGAGCAGTAATGCAGATACAACTTCAAAGTTGTATCTTTTAGTTTATTTTAAATTTGTATCCATTAGGAGAATCGATGCTGAACTCAAATGCACACAATGCATGCAAATCTGCGTTATTGCATCACAAAGGATCTTCCCCTGTCATTCCTTCACAGTTATTTTGGAGTAAACAAAGGGTGTGTTAAAATCCATCCAGATGCATACGTGGCTCCATGTGAGCGTTGATCACACAACCAAAGCAAAGCTCTGCTGGTACACTAGGTGTCAGTGAGTCATGGCGATCTTTAAACACGTGTTGTTTATCTCATGTTTGATGCCACTGATATTGAGCTACCCTTTCTACCCTCCAACATGCTATACTAAGGTGCTGAGCATGGCCCGGGACCTCACCCAGTGGGCAGCAGACTTGAAATGGGACCCAGAGACTGTAAGTCAGCTTGGTAATTTTTTATTTTACTTTACACTTAAGTGGTATTTTATAACTATTCTAACTGTTTAAAAACTTGTAAATAATAAAGATTTTGTACTTTACATAAATAATTGTATATTATTTCAGCTGGCTTTAGTGACATGAGAAACATGATTTCAAAGAAATCATGGAAAGTCAGGAAAAGTTGTAAAATCTGTGAGACTTGATAGCTTTCATTCTTTTCATCCAGAGTTACTGCATGGCACACATGCCAAATCTCTACATTGATGTTCATGTAAGTATGTCTTTATTATTAAAAAAGAATAATAAAATGGCATGATTTTTGCCATATAACATTCCGAAAAGAAAATGTTTTTTGCGCTCTCCTTTCTGTCGATGATCTACACACATTGTTTTGAGTAATCTGGCCGTCCCTGCATTTTTGACGCTCACTTATGTGGTATTTTGACTGCAAACTTTAGCTGCAGTAAATCATGCGCAGGGACACTAATTGTTACTCATGACAGAATGGTTGTGTGATGTACAAAATGAGCACCTACCTCCAAATGGTGGAGGGCCTGCGACAGCGCCGCTGTGCTTACACCAGAGACGTAAGGAAGCTGGGTGTCACTATGCGACAGCTCTTCATCATCATGTCAGAGAGATGCCACGGGGTAAGACAAGACAAGCTGTCTAAATAAGTGTAAACTGTGCCATACTCAATCATATATCAGATATTAACATCCCATCTTGTGGGACTTAAGTGTGGTGTAGTGCATTTGTGCCAGGAAACTCTAGAAACGTCATAAAGTAAATTACAATTCATAGTTAAGATCAAATGTATAGGTCTGATTAAACCAGATTTTTATTGAATATGTAGTCACTGAGCTGCGTTTTAACTCACCCATGCACCTGATATGGTTTCATAAACTGAAAACAGGCTAACAGTGATGAGATGCATTCAAACTAACTGCTGTTTACTGGGTCACTCACTTGGTGATTTCGCAGGATTAAGCAGGGTTTATGATGCAGATTATGAATAACCTTCTGTGCTCTGCGAGCGTTTGATCCCACTCACCTGATCTGTGATGTCAGACCCATCTGGGTCTGCTATTGGTGTCCTGACATGACTGATCTGCCCATCTAGGCGAGGCCACAATGCCTCAGAGAAGGGTCAGAGTAAATTCACTTACATTAGAGAGAAAGGTAACCTTGTGCTGTGGCTTACATAAAGCATATACAAACATTATTTACCAAGTGAAAAACAAGTCACTGCTAAAATGTTCACACCTCCCTCACCGGTGTCCCATGGTGTGTTTTGTTTTCATAGGACTTGGTGTTCACAGCCTTTGACTGCTCTGCCCTGGAGCGCTGACATCCTGGATGCTGAAATATTTCAAGCTGCTCACCGAGAACGTTGATAGAGAGACAGCAAGAGTCTCAGTGGACATTCTTTATTTCTTCAAGTAATGACAGAAAAAAACAAAAACCTGGAAGACACGAGTATGAGATCACCTGAGTAAACCATATTGTGATTCTGATGTTATAAGCATGTATTCTCTTTGTAATGACATTTATTACCAACCAGATGATTAATCAAAAATATTTTACAGAATAAGATGTATTATTTTTTTTATAATTACACAGGCCTTTTATAGAATGAATAGAGTCACATTTTGGTTGATAGACAGTTTGAATAATTATGCAAAAACTTTTAATGCTGACTAATGAGTTAAACCCTTATGGAAGCAAATTAAAACTGAGCCTTCTGAGTACCTTTGATCTGCCAAATGTGATAAAAGACAGCATTCATTATATTTCTTGCAGGGGTTTTTTTCACACACAGGTTGCCAGATAAGCATATTGCATAGCGCATAGTGGAGGTCATACTGACTGTATTAGGGCAGCGCTTAAGTAACAGTAACAGACAAGTAAAAGATCTGTCAGCCAAGACACTTCTATCTTGCTTTTGTCATCTTTAAAAAAAATCTGTAATAGCCACAAACAAGCTACTAAATTGATACTGAGGTGTGACTGTTCTGCTTTTATATGTTCCCAATGTGTAAAATGGACTTTGCAGCACAATATAAGGTTTGGTATTAAAAGTAAGCTCCAGCATGATCCAGCAGTAAGCTTTATTGCATCTTACGATGGAGATATTACAGTTGTTCTTTTGTGCCTTACATGTTTTAAATACAGTCAAAAGTGGAACACATGACACACAACAGTAAGGATTTTGAGGTATCTGCAACTGTCATTTTCATTTGCCATAGCAGGAAAATATCATTTGTGCCCCAGTAAGACAGTGCACTGGTCTTTTTCACTTCATAAGTCATTACATACTACTACAGCTTGTTTCTACTGTGTGAAACAAGCTGATTTATTCAGAACTGGTGATTTAGCTCTTATACTTTTAAGTATAAGACACATTTTCTTGTAATATACAAGCTGGTTTTCTAGGACATTCAGAGGGTTGGTGTGACAGAAGAGGATGGGACAGGGCGAGATAGAGGCAGATGATCTGCTGTGGCAACCCCTAAAGGGAGCCGCTGAAAGAAGAAGATGCAAGCTGGCTTTCTAAGAATAGAAGTTAAATCAGTTGAGTTGTCCAAAAATGTATTCTCCTTATGCCTCTAGCCATGCAAATAAAAAAGAAGATGACTAGGTTTCAAGAGAGGTTTAATTTTTCAACACGATTCCAAACGCACTGCCATTGCAGTAAAAGCATACATGGATGGAAAAACACACAATGGTACACACATCAGTCATGGATTGGTCTCCCCAAAGCCCAAGCCTGAACATTATTGAAGCTGTGTGGGACAGAGAACAGAGCAGAAGAGAGCCAATATCCAAGGAAGAGCTTTGAATGTCCTGCAAGAAGCATGGAGAACTAATCCTGAAGACCATTTAAAGAAATTAGTAGAAAGTCTGGCTAAGAGAGCTCATGAATAAAATACTGACTTTTAAGCTTGTTAGAATTATACACACTCTGTTTTTGCCTTAAATATTGCATTTCCATGTATGTTTACACGTTTTTATATATATTACTTGTTTTATTTCTCACCGATATTTCAACACTCAAAGAAATTTTACAATACTCATACAACAATACAATACAATACAGCAATCTTTAAAACAATCTTGCTCAGTTGTCATGGAAGGTCATTTTCAGGAACATAGATAACCTCCCTGATAATCTGTTTGATGTGGACAGCTGGCTGTGTGTCAGACTGATTGCAATAGTGACCGCACAATTCACAATCAGATCTTGATTATGAGTGATTTGATTGCCACCCCCAAGTCCACCTCTTCTCTTTTTATCAGTGCCACCGTCTCCAAGCTTACATTATAACAGTTCACACTACCATGTTGTAAACATTCTCTTTCACACGATAGTGCGAAGTCATGGAAAATGTGTCATGTGATAGGATCTTCAGAGAAAATGAGCTAATAGCAGTGAATTAGAGGTTGAAATAATTATAAATTACATTATTTTTCTTTTGAGAAAGGGCCCCACGGACACCACTTATATAATTACTTATTTATACAAATATCAGGATTGACGACAAGTCACCTTGATAATATGTCCATCATTTTCTTCATTTGCACATCTCCTGACGTCAAATTCCCCACATACTACGCAGAAAAACAACGACTTTCCCACTAGAGGGCGGTGTGGCCTTGCTTTTTCAGTTGAGTGAAGTTTAACCAGCATGCAGCTTAAAAGGAAATACAAACGAAAGTAAGAAGAAACCAGTGCATTTTCTTTTTAATATTGATTAATGAGATTTAAAAAAATGTAGACGAGCTGTAATAAAAAAATCACCCAAATTTGTTTTCTTTTTTGCCCTTTAATGATATATTTTTAAAAAGCAAACAGAACACCTAAACAGAAGAACGAGAAGACAAAATCTGTATATAATGGAGTCCTAACTTCATGCATGCAGTCTATATGTTCTTACAGGGGTTATACTTTGGTATACAGCACAGCTGTTGAAGTTGAAGGAGACGCCGCCGCTGTCAGAGAGCACGCCGAGCATCAACCCGGACATGAAGTCCTGTTTTACCGCCTCGACGCTGTATATCAACCGACTCGTTCTACCCAAGGAACTACATTTCCTACATTTCCATGTCGGCAGCGCGAGCGCTGTTCAGAAACGAGGTGGGGCTATTTTGAATCAACAAGTTGCCCAGCCAGACAGGCGAGCAGCAATTCCATCGTGTCTTCGTAGCAGCAGGTGGTCACCGCGCGCCCAGCACTTAACCACAGCCTGTTAATTGGATTACGCTAAGTTTCCACGTCAGAGCCCCACAGAGCCCACGGGGTGAAATGGACGGAATAGATTAACTTTTTCTTCTTTTTTTGTGAACCAGCCCAGTTCTCTTTTTCTTCTCTCAGGGACGCTGAAAGTGACGCTGTCAATTGGTAGATAAGACTTTCTTTTTAGCGGACTGCACGATTCTGCGTGCCTAGTGCTCTCGTGCTCAAGACTGTTGACAGTTTTTTTTTTTTTTTTTTAAATATATTTTTTTCTTTTTAAAGTTGAAGTTAGTACATTGTTAATAATGGCGTTCGGTAGATTCAGTAAACTATTTCGTCTACCCACCATGGATATGAAAAAGAAAGCCAAACAGTACGAGCACGTTAACCGGGACGTCAATCCTAATGACATTTGGGAAATTATTGGCGAGCTGGGCGACGGTGCTTTTGGAAAGGTCTACAAGGTAAGTGTATTCTCAAAAGACACGAGGCACCTGTTGTCTGACAATGCTGTAGAACCCCAAGAACCCCATTCGTCCTCAAATGAAGTAGTCCTCTCGAAATGTTGATGAGTTGCCCGTTTGATGCCTGTTTGTGCTTATGAAAACTTCCTTGAATATCAGAAAGTTACTTAAGTTTACTCTGACAAAATGTAGTAAACGACCTAATATATACTTTATACTAGTTTCATTTCAAATGGGTGTTTCTGTGTATTTTTCCCCCACCTGTCACACACTTTAAAGCCTTGCATCCTTTGGGTGTGGACTAGTTCCATTCACCTGTGGGTGCTGAACCATCCCAGCATTGCTCTAATATGACAGATATCTGAACTATGTTGCTGTTCAAGAGTTCCTATGTTAAACAGACCCATGCAGTCATTACATTTTTAACTTTGGCTGTCGTGTGAAAGTTTTGCTAAATCTTTAGAATCAGCATGGGTGACTACTACTTCTGTGTGGCTCCTCTCTTCTTTTCTCTCTCAGGTCTGACCTCTCAGAACTTGTGTGAATGCAGTTGAAATTATGTATGCCATGTGGAGGATTTAGAAAAATGCCACGATGTGACACCACTGTTGAGTCAGCCTGCAGGGACAGTGAAAGCACCTTAGCACCACCAGCAGCAGCACCACCACCATCAGCACTTTGACTCAGTGGAGATATTTAATCTGGCTCTGTAAGACATTCACTGCCCTCTGCAACGCGGGGCACAGGCCTTCTGTGTCTACACAGCCCAGTGGAGCACAGTGAAGGTCTTTGACACATCAGGGGCCTCAGTGGAAGAAGTGATGCTTTAAGCAGAATTCTGCACTGAACAGAGAGCGCAGTCTTTTCAGAGGACCCCACCTTGTTTAGACTTTTCTTTTTTTTTGTTTTTACTGGAAAGTTTACATACATGTAATGGGGAAATGGGTGTGAAGAGCACCATAAAGCTCACTATTCCAGCAAAGCTATTGCCACGGATGCAATTTAATGAAAAGAAAATAGTAACATGGCGATCAAGTTATAGCTAGAAGTGAAGTTGCATAATTTATCTTAACAGTGAAGCATACTATGAAAACGCACAGTGCTTTGAGTTTTCTTCCTGAGATGCTAAGGCAGGGACCCAGTACAAGGTTCTTTGAATCTGAAGAAACCTCTAATAAGCTGCTGTTTATTACTCAGGTTTTAAGGATTACTCAGGTTTCTCAGTGCAGAAGTACACACAGTCCACTTCAGCTCCAAAGTGTTTAAAGCTAAAGCCAAATGAAAGTGGCTGGTACATCTAGTGTGATTAAGTGCTACTTAGATAACTGGCAAGCTTACAAAATGTAATGTCCCTTCCCCACTATATTTGCCTGGGTTCCTGTTTCTCCTCCTTCAGTTGGTTGGAGGAGGACAGCTCCACACCTGCAGCTGTCAGATGGAGTGGAGGGGGGCAGAGCAAGAGCAGACGATGGCCAAGAGAGGAAACTGTGGGACTGCATCAGGAGACGGCTTCCTCTCGCAGCTCCCAAACCTCAGAATAATTGGCCCATCTGTGGGAGGGAAAGGCCTTGTGTGGTGAATTGTACATGCTTTCAGATGTTAGAAGTATTTGATAGAGCAGGCGTGAGGGAAGGAGGCTCTGTGTCCTGTCACTTGTGAGATCATCTACTTGTCAAACTGTTTGGGGGAGGGCAGGAGTCACAAAAAAGATGGTTGTTGATGTGCAATGGGCAGCAGGAGAAGAAAGTATAAATTTCATGTGTCGGACACCGCTGCTTGTAGAGCTTCTTTTTTGTTTCGGTTTTTGAGATTGAGGACAGATTTGTGTAATTGTGCAGTTTTGCTAGAGAGTACCGAGTGCTCCACACAGGCTGATTCTCCAAAGGTTAATGTCACCAGCAGGAGAATAACAACTCCCAGGCTTAAGGGTAGTGTTAAGGACAAATCAATCTATGTGTGTGCGTGGCTGTAACCCAGGAACAGTGTGAAAGAAGGATCTCATAAAATGCAATATACTCCCCCAGTTATCGAATATATTCTTCCCTGTAGGTGAAACTGTACTTTTCCATTATTGAAAGGCTGCTAGGAAAAAAATATGACTGTCCATAAAACTTAAGCCTGTGTTTCTAACCTTTTTATTGCTGGAGATTGAGGGTCAAAATATTGTGCAAATATGTGTCATCCAAGTGCTATAAGTACTTTTTTTCTTTAAGCGTGCACTTGTGTTGGTTGATACTTTGATGCATAAATTACCTAAATGCAGAATATTCATTTTGTTAATGAGTCTGAGTATCACAGGACACTGCAGATGCAAACATGTACTCAAACATGCTGTTGTTTACACCTTCTGGTGCTCTGTTAATGAGGTTAAAGTATCACTGTCCAGCAGCAGTTAAATGGGATTATAGAGCAGCTAAATGGAAAGCCGATGTTTCTAACACTGCATTTATCACTCGAGTGCCAAACATATCTTTAACCTTAGAGCACATTTTACTTGTCAGTAAGTCAGTTTTGACCACAAAAAAAAAATCTGTGTGCAATCAGTGCTACGTTTAGATTCAAATTGCAGTTAAATTTTATTAGCGCTAGTTATGCTAAATTGCATTTTGATGCTTGTTATCAGTCGTTTACATGCTGGTTTGTTTCGCAATGTAATACAAACACCCACAACACTGTGGCACTTCTGTCTCCCTGTAGGCTTTTTTCTTTTTTTTTAAAACCATCACTGACTAATCAAGTCTCATATTCCACTTCCTGCAGCTCCAGTGTGTCAAAGGATGATGTCTTTGCTCTGTCTCTCTGTGCGTGTTTGCACTTGTTGGAAGGAGTCCTGCGCTTGTGTATGAAGGTGTTGTGGCTGCAAGTGAGGCATGAAACAATTGAGTTGTATAGCCCTTCTCACTAATTAATGAGCCACGTGCCACTGAGCACACTAGCCTGCTGCTGCTAGTGAAGTGTTTCCATAGACACACACAGGCTTTAAGGTTACGCGCTGTCAAATTCCCTTTGTGGGATGAAAAGCGCAGTGAATCTTGTCCCTGTTGGTCTGACAGTGGGTTCAGCCTGGATGTTGTGTAGTAGAAAGTGTGTAGGTGGCCTCAGCTATGGCAAAAACGAAACGAGTACAGTAGTCGGCCAAGTGTTTAGGCCACAGTACTTAATGTAACGGATCTGATCATCTTTAAAACTTTTAAAAAACTCTATTTATGCACATTAGGTTGGAGAAATGTGGTCATACACCGGGCCAAAATGTTGTGGGAAATCCTGGACTGGTTAAAGGCATAAAACAAGACATTTCTCTTCTATGTAGTGTTTTTGTAAGACTTGCAGAAAATCACTTAAAATACGATTACCGTCTACTGTGAAGTCAAAGAGAAACTCACATGGTGAGTAGGAGGGGGCAAAGGTTGCAACTTCCTTTTTGTGAAGGAAAGCCGCAAGGTTCATATGAAATGCTCACAGTTATCAAGAATGGCTCCAAGACGAATGTTTAAAAAGACTTCAGTGGCACTGTCGTCACTGCTCCCGAGAGCAGGGTTTCCCTGGGTCTAATCTCAGGGAGCAGCTGGGCCCACGGTGACTGATAAGAGCCCAGCTGGATGGGTGTGGGCTCAGAATGGTTGGAGTCCCTGTTATCCTCGTCATGACATTGTCATCGGCATTTACAAAAGCCTTGATCTGTGTTTCTAGTTGTAGGTCTGAGGTTAATGATCTACATGATAATTTCTGATATGTGTGAGTTCATACTCGGACAGCATTTGCAATTGAGAAAATGAAAGATGTAGAATTTTCAGTTATATCAGATTTTCTACATTTTGGAAATTTAACATCAAACCATAATGTCTCATGTGTCACTTGTACACTTTTTCTGATTAATCTGGTAATCATGCAGTACTTGCCCGAGCTTGGTTTTGTGGTGTGCTTTAAATAAGACCGTATAAACCCTCCAGTGTGGTGCTTGCTTCTTCTAGTCTGCACTCAGGAAGTTTGACTCCTTTGTCATGAAAGTCAAGGTTTGAAGGCCTGTGTATCACTGATTAAAGAATTAAGTGTTACAGGTTTTCTTCCAAGGCTGTCTGTGGTATTGTATGTTATAACTTCCTGCCTCCCTGACCTGCTTTGTTTTTGTGACTTCGGGTTGAATTTGGGGCATGTTGCAATGTTGATCACAACTTTCACATCCCGAAAAGGCTCATTGCTTCATTGTTAAGCAGTTTTTGTACAAATTTGCTCCAGTCAGGTATCCTTTGCCCAGTAGTCTGTAAATTCATACATTTGTGCCGTCTTTACAGTCAGTGGTTTTGATAGAGGAGGAAGAGTCATGCTCTGGCGTTGATGGAAGAAAATATGTCAAACAATCTTTGTTCTTCACTGATGCGTTTCGCTGTAAGAGCTTCTGGTATTTCACAATAGAGCCATAGCTACATTCATGTCTTTAATCTATTTTTTTTAAGGTAGGGGTTAGCCATAATGATTGGGTTTGCAGAGCCATTCACATGTCTAGGTGAAAGGTAAGCACTGGCTACGCAGCCTTGAAACATTTTAGTCACTTTTCTTCTTCTCTGCTGTAAAATGAGTAAACTTATTTTACTTACTTTACTTTCTTCTTGAGATTAGACCCAGAGAAGCCCTGCTCTTAGGAGCAGTGACAACCACACTGAAGGCGTTTTATCATTCATCTTTACTTTCTTGGAACTTAAAAAACCTAATAAACAGTAGCAGTGGCAAATTAGTAATTTCCTTTCCTGTTAAAAATATGTCATGTGAGAGTTATAGGTATGCTTCCTTGTGCCTTTTTTTGGAAGAACATTTTTACTATGTCACATGAATGCATCATATCCAGTAAATAAAAGATGATGACTACATTAGTTTTCATACTTTACTGGGTAACATACTTCCACATAAACCATTTATACTGTTGACCTTTACGCCCAATCAGTATTTTCTATTTTTTATCACAAAAAAAAGCCACAATCCATTACTCCGTAGTGGCTTGTCAG